ATGAAATTTGGATTAGGCTCTTATTTTCAGTACTTAAAACACACTTGCTTTAAGAAGTATGATAGCATGCAAAGGTGTTTGTGGTATTTTCCCCATTTTTCTATTTTTGTTTGTAGCTGTCCCCACCCCAGACCCACAGAATAGAACACCATTAGACTGTGTACTCACACATTTCCATTCTCCCCAGATATTATCGTGACTTCTTCAGCTCCCATACACTCTCTGTGTACATGACCAAGATGCTTTTTCCAGAGAAACTCAACTTTTGAAATGTTCCCAGAAATTTCTGTATCAATGTAGTTCATGTATATGTTGCCTGGTTTGAAAGTTCCCCTGCCGGAAGAAAAGCACAGAAGGGATTTTCTGTGTTCTTTGCAGATGAGGTAAAACAATATGCTTCACTTGAGGCAGAAGGGGAGATGAGCTGTGGGATGCCATAAGACTTGAAGTTTTGGTAATTCTTGAAAATAAATTAAATGGTAACAATCGTATTCAGTCAGGGATGTTAGGCAAAATTTTAGGTCAGAACATGCTCTTGGAGAACATGTTCCTTGGGGTATGCACAGGGCTCTTGATACAGAACCTCATGCAGATTATTGTTAGTAGTGGTAGTGTTATTTTAATTACATATTGTTAGGATTATTGTTAGTATTATTGATATTGTGTTAGTATGATTGGTATAACTGTTTTACTAATTTATATTATTAAATTGTTCTTATCTCAACCCACGAGTTTCCTTGTCTTTTCTTCCTATTCTCCTCCACTGGAGGGAGGAGGAGGAGGTGAGCGAGCAGTGGTGTGGTTCTTGATTATTGGCTGTGATTGTCGCACGACAGCCTTTCAGGGTGAAAACACTCAGCTATCCCAGACTCTGTCAGTATTGCTATGGGGTTTATTCTAGATGTTTTTGGAAAATGAGATCTATCTTCTTCAAATAAGAGCAAGTCGGAAAGTTCTCTTGGTGTTTCTGCTTGCTCTCCACCATGAAGAAAATGGAAAATAATAATTTGCATGTGTCTATCCTGTGGTATCAGTGTTCATTATAACAGAATGCATATTACAGTGTGACATTAACATATAAATCACCTGTGGGTGTATCGCTGCCGTAGCATATTTGCAACCAAAGGTACTCCTGGTATTGAGCAGTAACAGGGTGATGTTAAAGCACACAGGAGGTTGATCTTGCACTATTTAAACTGTGCACTTGAGAAGGATCAGTTTGAGATTTAAATTCACATTTACTAGGGAAAGCCAGGCTGAGTAGACAGGAATCCCAGATGCCAGCACAGTTCATAAGCAAGCTGCAACTTTCTGTCCCACATATTCCCCAGACGAGGGAAATGATTAAATGACTGTGCATCGTGCAGCTCTTTGTCTCCTCAGAGATCACCAAACGATTTTTGAGTCCAGTGGTAGCCACAGAGCTCTTTTGCTCTTGCCCACTTTACTGTGCTGTCATCCTCAAAAAAGAAAATACAGAGCAAGAGAGACCAGCAAGCAGATTTTGGCCTCAGTCTGGGGAACTTCAGGCACTTGGCAGCTGCTTCAGTTACTTGTGTAAATCACAGGTCACATAGAACAAGATGAGACATGTAAAAATAGCTGTGTGTAAATTCAGTATAACAATGATAGAGCCATTCTTTTAACAGTGATGTTAAACTTACATGTTAACTGTGTATTTTTTCCTGATCCCATTAGTTCCAGTCAAGGCTACATCTATGTTTCCCTTCATGGTTTCTGCTGCAGATACTCTGACATGTATCTCTTTTCGCCAGCCTTTCAAAGCAAAATGAAATAAATTATGGTTATGTTTTACCATTAGGAAAGAAATCTCCTTATCTCATGTCTCAGTGTCTTTCAGGGAGAGGATTGCACAAATGTGCTTGTAAGGGAACAAAATGTCACTCTTTATTCAGGCAAAGGTTAGTTCTGTGTGATTCTGGTAGTATGACTTTCCTCAACAGAGGTCTAAATCTAGATCCAGTCTTTGACCTACTGACTATGTTAAGTATTTAATTGGCCATGGCCAACCCTCTACCACCTTCTTACACGTGAGGTTTGTGATTTCTTACACTTAGGCACAATACGGGGGGGTCTCAGGGCTAGCATGTTAGCTCTCCATATCCACTGGACTTCTGTGTTGTTACAGATATATTAAAACCAGCTTTTTTTTTTTTTCCCAGGATGATTTTGTTATGCAGTGTTGAGGGTTTTTCTAGCACCTGTGTGCAGCCCAACAGCTCTCAGGAGATACTGTCATCCCGCAGGCCTTTCTAAGGCAGGAGGAGGGTCCCAGATGCAATAGCACGTATTGATTTCAAGCAACCCAGTTTGGGAAGTTTTTCTACTGGCGTTAATTTGGGCTATTAACAGGAGAATATTTTCACCCACTTCATAAGCTCATATTTGGTTTCAGGCTGTATCTTTTATGAACTCAACAGTTTGTAAATGTTAAAATTAATGTATTAAATGTATTAAATTAATGTATTAATGTATTAAATTTGAATGAATCAAATTTTAGAAGTAGCTAACCTTTATGCTGAAATTAATTTTTTTTTCTCTCTCAAGGAGAGGTAGTATAAGATTTTTTTTTTATTATTAACTTTGTTTTCATATTTTAGTGCTTACTGAATAAGGATCTCAAAGATCCTCTCTCATTTATTGCCCTTATTCTCCATCATCCATGATGAATTACAATTTACTTATGAATCTTCTTATTTCCCAGTTCTGTGGCTGCTTGTACATCACAGTTAATACTATACTTCTTATTACTCCCTGCTATTTTGACTTGATAAGATTTACAAAAATATCCTGCAATGATCCAGTTTTATAAATTTCTGTCAATAAAAACAGTGCAACAGCTTTGATTTGAATTTTTCCACTGTCAGCATAACATTCCTCCCACCTTCTGCTTTATAGAATTTCTGAAGTCATTATCTAGTTAAATTTTAGCAGGATTTTTAACTCAGAGGTTAGCATCTGTTGATCTGTTTCTATAATTATCTAGGCCTTTCCTAGATAATGCTGGCACTGCAGGTTCCTAACACACCTGAAACCCTAAATTTTGTACTGAATGCCACTCATTAACTCCAGCAGCTCTCTGTGGAAGTGCAAGATGTTTTTTTCACACATAATTAATTACCACTTTAGAATTCACCACACAAAATAAGCACTTACGAGCATATGGAGGGGAGGGGCCCGTGTTTAAATAAACCTTTTGCTGTTCTTTTTCAGTTTTACGTAAAAACTTATCAGCATAATGACCCATCAGTGGGCATCCTTCCTTTGGACATGGGAAGCAGTCTCCCTGGGGGAAAATAACAGTGTGTGTTACAAGATGTTATCTGTTTTAATCCCACTTCTTAAAGGTTAAGAAAACAGGGTATTTCAGCTTTTTCCCATCTTTTTTGAAAAGGTACTTGCTTCTGAGTTCAGATCATATCTTGAGTATTTATCGGTGTGGGGAAAAAATGAGCTGAGATGGTCAGTCAGTTTATTTCGTCTGGTTGAAAATCAGTAAGAAACTGGAAAATTTCGCTTAATTCCTTATGTTCTTGCAAAGATGATAAACACCTTAATGCATGTTGTGGTTTACTACCCGATCTGTAAAATACAGGTAATATATTCCTCTTTCATAGCATCCATTGAAAGGTTGTCTGCTAATAATTATAGGGTGTATAACCGTATTTGCAAGGAGGTCTGGCTGGCTTTCTCAATCATGTGGTAAAGATATTTAAGCTTGGGATCTTGTTTTGGGATGTGTTCTGTCTGCTTTTCAGCCTTTATTCCCATGCAGAACCTTAATGAGATTAATCTACCTACATAGAACAAGACATTAACATCCATTAAAAAAAAAAAAAAGTGTGTGTATTTTCAGTGAAAGTGATTTAATCACCATTGGAAAAATATAGCATTGTTATATTTAAATAGTTCAAGTTTGATACTTGGGAAGTTGTGTAGGAATTGGTATTTGTGGATCTTTGTGCATTAGATGAATAAAAGGCTAAATGGTCATAATCGCTTGTTCATTATGAGATTGAAAAAAAAAAACCAACAAAACCCCAAAAAACCCCCAAACCAAAATGTTTCCTTCGCATCACTAAATTGCACAGGTTGTTTTTTTCCAAGCCCTGAATTTCATCAAACTTTCAAGTTAAGTGGCAGTATTTCTGCAAATGTTGACAACTTTTCCACAGTATTGTAATCATTCCTTTTGGGAGCAGACAGAAGGAAATAAATTCAGACTTTGATTCCTTCTTGACCAGTCCTCAGTTGCATTGCCAGAACTGGTCCACTAAAATTCCAGTTATATCCAGTACGAAACACCAACACATTACATTACCGCCTTTCTTGTGCCGCGCGAGAGTTGTGTGAGCAATGCTGTGCTGTATAAATACTTTCCCTGCCCTATATACTGTGGGTATTGATTGTTTATACAGATGTTCAAACACTTCTGAAATCCAGAGGCTGTCATCTTGATGAGGGTTTCCATCAATTTTTGATGGGCTTCCTTCAGGCAGAGCATTCCTTACTGCTGACCTACACAAAAGGTGAGCCCAGCCCTCTTACTCCACCCTTCATCTCTCCCTTTTAACTATTTTTGGTGTTTATATTTACTGCCGTAGATCTTTTTTTATTTGAGTTTACTGCCTTTACATTTTGCCTGGGTTTTTTTGTTGTGTTCTGGATGAAGTTAGTGGGTCTAAATAACCTCCCTTGTATCCCATGTTCCACTGTAGAAGTCCCAGAAATTTAAGTGAAGATGGGCTATAACCTCTCAAATATGTACCTGATACTTACCAGTACAAAAGCTCGGTATGTTTCACACTGATACCCGACGAGTTTACTGCTTTTACATTTTGCCTGGGTTTTTTTGTTGTGTTCTGGATGAAGTTAGTGGGTCTAAATAACCTCCCTTGTATCCCATGTTCCACTGTAGAAGTCCCAGAAATTTAAGTGAAGATGGGCTATAACCTCTCAAATATGTACCTGATACTTACCAGTACAAAAGCTCGGTATGTTTCACACTGATACCCGACAAATCCATTTGGAGTGATAATACTCTCAGCATAATACTGGAGACTTCTTTTATGCCCACATCCAACAGATCTATATTCTGAGAAAAAGCCCAGGTAAAAAAAAAATCAAAGCTATACATGAAGCCCACATCAAAGCAGCACTTGTTGGTTGTTTTTCCTCAAAAGCATTTGAACATTGTGACATCTCCGATTAAAAAAAAGGGTAATAATTAAAAGAAATATAAACTGTGAATTATTTGGGTTTTATAGTAAAAGGTGTACTTATGGCTACATATATTTTTTCCATGGGAAAGAGCTAGGTTCTAATCTGCATGTTGTTGCGCTCATGCTGAAGATAACAGAGTTGGAGATGCCCCACAGCGGACCTCCATGCGACCTCCTGTCCTGCTATATGTACTTAACTGCTTTCACTTTAGCAGAGAGCCGAGGAGAATTTAGGAGAATTTCCCTTTGGTGTTTCAAATACTGGAATAATTTATAGCTACAGTGTTTGTAAAGCATACAGTAGTTACTATGAAGTAGTTTTCATGCGTTTACCATTACCAGAACATGGTATTTTGTAAACCCACAGTCTCCGCTCATTTCAAGAAATAAGGGTAATTGTATTAATTTTTTTAACTTCAGTAGCTTTTGGTGTTTTTAAGTGCTAGAAAATCTGCAGTCATTTGGCAGTGGTAATTCTGTGAAATGCTCGGAAAAGCATGATGTTTGGTAGCGTGTCCTTGATTTTGTCAGAATTACTTGAGATGAGTACGTTTTCCTCTCAGAGTGAAATTTATATGCAGTCAGTGCAGGAAAGAAGAAAGTGCTATTTGGGTTATAGTTACACCTCCCTTGTAACCAGTATTGCCTACATGGGTGCTGAAGTCTGTTCTTTATCAAAGCACAATATACTAAAGTTAGGTTGTATAAAAATAGGCTCGACCCTGCTTCAGTATGGGGGAGCTCACCTAATCACAGGGTGAAGTCTTGGAGGCACTGGAGTAATTGCAAGCTGGCACAGTTTAGAGTGAAATCAATTCCACCTACTGTCAATATTTATACATCTTAAAGACAGACGAGTTGGTATTGACTGGTTGACATACACTGTTCTTGGCATAAGGAAAGAAAATAACACACCAAAACCCCTCTGCAAATCATTTTTGCCTTGAAAATAATCTGCATCATCAAGGCTTCCTGAGTATGTTTTCCTTGTTGTTCCTTCTTTAAATCTAATTCAGAAGGGTCAGTGCTTTTAATTTACAAAACCTCAGGTCTTAGGGTTGCCTCACTTTGAGCTAGTGCCAAATTCACTTAACGTCTGTACAATGGGAACATAATACTCCTCTCCCTGCTGCATCAAAAGCTGTAGAAAGAAGTTACTAACTAACCATTTCTAAAGCACTTCACACATAAAAGCACCACATAAGTGTAACTATTATCAAACAGAAGAGAGATACACAAATTTAAGGTCTAACCAAGAGGCATGAGTTAAGGCTTTGTCTATTTTTAGGGGTGGCATGAACAACCAACTCCGTCTGCTAATGTTCAATAGAGCCAAGCTTCTCCTTCACCACAAAATATTTCAAACAGCCTTGTGAAACGCCTTCAGAAAATATTTATTTTTTCTTGCTGAAAACATAGATGTTCTTATGCAGACTGATTGGAAAGTGCTGTGGTTCCAAGTGACTTTGTGCACAGCCAGCTTTCAGTGGTCTTTGTTACTGAATTCTTCAGACTTCTAAGACAGGGAGTTTCTGAAAGCCAATTACTTAACTAGTGGAGGGGATTTCAAAACATTTAGCTATGAATAATAGATGTTCTCTTTTCTGTAGGTTAGGATCAGAAGACAGGATTTTGGGGATCTATTGTACTGGATCCCAGGGCAATTCTGATTAGCCGCCCAGCTTTCTTTGAAGAACATGAACTATCAATGGAGCAGTCATTTTATCATCTTCTGTATTTTTAACCTTGTGCTGGTTCCCTTTGAAGTCACTAAAGCTGTTAATGGCATGGATAAGTATGTCTAACCCCAGTAATACTGGGACCCATGTCTTTCTAAGGAGAAGGGAACCTCAGATTTTTAGGCTATTCTTGAATGAAACTTTAACCATCCTTCATGTGTAGAATTCCCACTCAGGTCAGTCTGGCAGCACAGTGACAGGAGGCCCTTATAAAGGTTATGATGAACAAGTCTGCATGATTTAACTGAAGTTTCCATCTGGAATTTGCCTTGGTTAGTATAAAAGAAAATTGGAAGGTATTTCACAGATGGCTTTAAATATTTCGATTTTGAGCATTATCTCCCTACTCCAAATCTGAGCTAGAAAAATACTATATCCACTCAAAAGGCTTCACCTTAGCCTAGCCTTTATTTCTAATGGTAGCTTATAATGAGGTATTACTTCTTTAAAATATATTTACCTCTCATAAGGTCATTGATATTCCGAGTTGCAGGAGGTACACGAAGCTGCTTGCATCCTGGCATCTTCTTCCCACCATTTGGGTAAAAATCCAGGTGTCCACAAGTCTGAAGAATCCCTGGAGCTGAAATGCACATTGAATCGAGGCTGATGGCTATCAAGTACACTGGGGCCGATCTCTGTGTTGGTGTCAGCTTTTGTGTAAAAACTTACCAAAGTCAAAGAAAAGATGACCGGCGTGAGTATGAATTATATCAACAAATGTAGCGTCTGAAGGATCCAGCCTAACCGTTGTGGGAGTATACTGGAACAGGGGCCCAGCTGGATCCAAACCTAAATAAATGGAGATTACATATAGGAAAAAATCTATTTTTATTTTCACAAGAGCTTGGTTGAAAATGTTACCCCTTCAATTCAGTGTCAATGAGCTCTCTTCAGGGCTAAAGCAACACAGTTCTGATCCCAGTTTCCCTGAATTTCTCATGTGACTGCTTACTGTGTACACAGCTTAGTCAAAGCAATGTCTGTGTAGAGAAATGAACTGAATGGAGGAGAAAGGAAAGCAGAAAATAGTGAGGCTTTAAAAAAAGTGGTGTGTGTCATGACACTGTGTCCCTGTGTGGCTATGCAACTCACAGCTTGCTTCCTTTTCAGGGTGTCTGTGGCTATTTACTGTCTCTTCCTGACACACTAGATCTAGGGATCTTAATTTTTCATTTCATATTTTCAATCTTTTGAACTACTGGAAAGTCATGTTATAATGGGCTTTTGAAACTGAATATGACAATGAGTTGGTAGTGTTTTACAAGTCTGTTATTCCACATGTAAGACAGTATTTTGTTCCTCTTCTTTTATATCTTTAAAAATCATAACCAAGTGCTTCCTGGGACTTGTCACCTGTGAAAAGTGACCTCTATTTAGCCACAGGTAGGATGGTTAAGCCAGTTAAGCCTTGCTGTTCTGTTGCAGTTGAGCCCTTCTCAGAGCTGTGAATTTTGACATGTGAAATGCATGCCATGTGACAGGACATGGCTTTGTGGGCCATCATGCCAGCTGTACACTGTTAATCATGTCAAACCAGCACATTGTGGTCTGCACTGTGTGTTTATAATGTAACAATGATTCTTCAGTTCTCTTAAGTTGCACAAAAGTATAAAGCTTCATCAGCTGAAAAAGCTTGGGTACCTGTTATTCTTCCAATGCCAGGTTTCCTTCTCCCTGCCTCCCCTGCTGCATGTGCTCCAAGACTATGGCCGATGAAATGAATGTTGGCAGGAGAGTAGCCATAGTCTTTCTGCAAAGATGTATGAAAAGGAAAAAAACAAGGGTGTTAAGCAGGACACGAGCCTGTGGCACTGCATTGTGGCCTCATGCTGTGACAGGACATGGCCAGACCAGCGGGCGATGGAGTGTCTTGGGTAGGAAGTTACTCTTCCAAGTGGTGGCATCTGTACCTAAAGAGAAGTAGTGCCCAGCTCATCCCATCCCCTCTTACACCGTGCCTCTGGAAGGGAGTAATCTTCGTCAGGAATTGGCCCTTCTTGGGACAATTATTATTGGTCCTTAGAAAAGAAGGAAAAGGGAATTTCTGCACATAGCTCCCCTACGTTTGCATTGACTGCTTATCCAAAAGGTGTCTACTGCCCCTCCCCTGAACCTTTCTGTCCATCAGGATAGCACTCAGTGGTGGAGAAGTTTCCCATGCCTTTCTGTGGCATACCCTCCATGAGAATCAAGCAGCTGTCCTGCTACGGAGCTGCTCTACCCCATGGGTCCTGCAGGACGAGGAGGACTATGCCAGGATTGCTGAACTTCTGCACAGGGAGCCTGACACTAGTGGCTGCAGCAGAGTTGCTTCTCTGTGCTGTGATCCAGTTCTTGCAGGACGCAGCGCATGTGACGCACAGAGGGATGTTTTAATTATAGAATGGAATGGTTTGTGTTGGAAGGAAACTTAATCTAGTTCCAACTCCCTGCCATGGGCAGGGACACCTTACACTAGATCAGGTTGCTCCAAGCCTCATCCAGCCTGGCCTTGGACACTATAATCATATTGGTCCTCTGTTACCACCCTTCACCCTGCCGATTTTGCTAGACAGTCTCTAACATCTTATCTGATAAAGAGTCCATCATGAGAAAACTTTCAGAAACTATGGCCTGTAAGCCTTTAGGGACACATAAAAAAGCTTTCAAGTCCCATGGGAACTTTTACCTCAAGAAAGTTCACCAGATATACCAGCTCAGCCCCCACAACGCGGACATTGTTAACTGCGTCGGTGTACAAACCATTAGAGCCACCTCTCCAGTCAGTCAAAATGCAGTTCACGTCTTCAGTGTGAAACATGAGCTGGTGGAAAACATGAAAACAAGAGGACAGAAGCAAACAGGCATGAATTACAACAGTAGCAGGGTATATGCAAACAATGTTTTGTTTTGCTAGAGCTGGGGACTTTGTTTAAAGGCTGTTAAAGAGACATCTATAGTATATTAATTTCTGCTACTACCAAAAAATCAACACAAGGAGGCAGAGTGGAGACAGTGATTTGAGCACTTCATAAAGACACACAGAATCTTGCTTCAGTTTTGTTTTCCATTCCAGAGGCTTTGGTTGGTTTTAGGTGATCAGCTTCTCTTAATGATAGTTGGGAAAAGAGGATAGTATGATTTCTTTTTTTATTGTCTGAACTCTTCTTCAAAATTCATATGCTTGGATCATCTAAAAGGATTCACAAATTTGTGTTTATGTGATTGGATTTTTCAGTTCCAAAATTCATATATTTTAAACAAAATATTCTCTTTATACACTTCTGGCAATGGAAAATTCTGATTTTGCATTCTGGAAAAAAAATTATTTTTGAAATGGGCCTAAATAAAATGAAACTAGTCTGCTGAACAAAGCATTTTGTTTTTATTAGATCAGATGTCTCAATCAAACTGGAATGTTTATTTTGATCTTGTGCTGAAGTGAAAAATATTATTTCCCCCTCCCAAATCCCAATTATGGTTTTCCTTGTGGAGGTGAATGCAGCAAAGGGGCATTTAGCAAAAGGCTGAAGTACACTATACTCATAGCTAGGAATAAGAGGGCAGTTGTGTGGAACTGAGCTTCATCCTGAGTTTTTTTCCCATCGTTTATTCCTTGAATTAACAAGAGAACAGAGGTATAAATCTCTTGTGGGACTTTTAAGCCAGTTAATAGGGTAACATGGATATTTGCACTTTCAAATACAAGTAAAACGACTGTCAGGCAATAGTCATACCATACCCTGCATATATTTGTTATCCAGGGGAGATCCGCTCCAGCAAGATGGCCGTGTATAATGAAGCGAGTTTTCCTGTGCGTTCGAAAATTCGAAGCTTTGATAGTTGAAGGATTTGTGGCAGAAATTTTCTGTGTCAAAGAAAAACCAACGAACAAACAGCACAACAAGGATGTGACTGTTCCATCCCAGTGTATATTTTGATACAGGGCCAAGTTCCCCAAATGTTAAGGCATGGTTCTGGACTCTGAAGAGATGGGTCTTGTAACTTGTCTTGCTGGGGATATCTATTAATCACCTCAACAAATGATTCACTTCCTCTAGCTAATTGAACTAATGATACTGGTGTCCTTTGCACAATGCTTTGAGATATACTGGTACAACATGGTGTGTAAATACAAGATTTTATCAAGTCTGGCCATAGAAATACAAAGATACCATCTTCTACAGGGTATTATGTGGCTGGCTTTGAATCTATACCTATTTTTCTTTCTTTTTTCACTGAAGACTTTCATCACTAAGCTTATTTATACTTTATGAGAAAGCCCACCAGGCTTACACTGTCAGAGGCTATAGGTATTTTTAGACTTATCGAGAACGAAGGCATTATTTTATTTTAATGAAATTCTGAATACTGGATTGTTTTAAAAGTTGGCTGTTACTTATTTTTTGTTATGGTTTTGTAAGCTTGAAAGGGGATGTCATGTACTAATTAGCACATATTTTACCTTCAGTGAAAGACTGATTGAATTTAAAACCTCACCAGCCTTCTCAGCTAGAGATGCTGGACTTGTTCTGAGGTGACTCAGACTGTACAAATAATTATACATCTCTACTGTTTGTGACTACCATTTATATGTGTAAAAAAACCAACTATGAAACCTTTATCATGTAATGTAACCTAACAGCAGCAACACGCTCGATCTGCACCCTTTTCATATTAATTTGCTTCATTGTTCTTGCACTTTGTCCAAGTAAAATTCACTCTCTGATGGTCACATTCACACTCTTACGGCAATTTCTCTTCTTTCACCAGCCTAGTCTATATTTCCACATAACTGATTCATGCTATGATCGAGCCCAGCCCAGACACTTCCAACATCTCGAGCATCCTGCTGTGAGCTTTTCCCAGTACCTGCTGCTCTTCAGAGGAAAGGGTTGAGACATTGCTGGCACCTTTCAGTACATTCCCATTTGATCCATGCTATGCAGCTCTGTAGGTTGCTTTCAGCTACTTCTATTTGTCACTCTGTCACTGTCCAGAGCTTCCCCTCACTGCCACTAGTTTGCAGGTGTTGTAGATAACCTCTTCTTTTTACTTATTTTCTTTTTCCACATATGGTTTCATTCTCTCACTCATTTTCAATTCAGTCACCTTTTTTCCTTTCTAAGCTTTCCTTTAATTTTTCATCCTTCCCCTTCTCTGTAAACATGAATACTCTCTCTTCTGATCTTTACTCCTAACTATGTTAGGAGAGTAACATTAGAGCTGCTCTGAGATCTCAGTGTTAACCACCACATAAGCAGATCCAATTGTATGTACTTCAGGGGACATAGAATCGTGTATGAACCACATCCCTCAGCTGTGTGTATGGGTCTGAAATATGTTTTTAATCTGGAGACATGCAGGGGACAAAACTGAGCTTTCCTTTTGTATTGCTTTCCCTGTCTCTGGCTCTGTAATGTTAAACGTGAAACCCAATTTGGGTCATTATCCTACTGTATATAAAATATATCCAAAATATTTGGGGGGGACTTTTTACAAGGGCCTGTAGTGACAGGACAAGGGTTAACAGGTTTAAATGGAAAGTGGGGAGGTTTAGATTAGATATCGGGAAGAAGTTCTTCCCGGAGAGGGTGGTGAGGCACTGGCACAGGTTGCCCGGAGAAGCTGTGGATGCCCCATCCCTGGGAGTGTTCAAGACCAGGCTGGATGAGGCTTGGAGCAGCCTGGTCTAGTGCAAGGTGTCCCTGCCCATGGCAGGGGGGTTGGAACTAGATGGTCTTTAAGGTCCCTTCCAACCCAAACCATTCTATGATTCTGCGATATTTCAGATGACTTGTGTTAGAAGGCTGTGATTAATATGTTGTAAATATACCTGGCTCATCAGAGAGCTGAAATGAGGAAAAAGAAATGAGATGGAGAAAACATTAGGATGGACTCTTCGTGGTGTATGCAACATAGAACTGGGACTTTTCCTGGGAGCCTTATGAACAAAAACATGGGAGAAAAGAAACTGTAGAATTTGTTGAATGTGTAGTATTAGTTATTAAAACAAAGCAGATTCTTACTTGATATTTCATGATGTTGTCTCTAGTGTAAAGGAAGAAATTGGTGTTCACATCTTCTGGAGAGCTGGGCAACCCTGCCAGTTGTCTCCCTGGGATGCCAGACCAAGGGGGCTTATCTGTAAAGCATCCGAGCCTTTTATAGCAAACTTCCCTTCCTGGGGTATACAAAGAAAAACGTTAGTCTGCTGTGACCGTCGCTGGTTAGGCTGTCATCACGTTTCAAGAAGCTGGCAGGATAACGTTTGTAGCGGGGAAGCAGAAAATGGCTGGTTCAGGTTAGGGTGGCCCCTGCGTTCATTTTAGGCGAAGGCGCTCAGTCGTGCTCCCGTGCCTTGTGCGTGTCACAGGGACTTGAGCTTCAATAGTGATTCCTATTGCAAACAGCCTGGAGCTCAGTTTGGTGAACTTGTGATTTATTTTGTCAAAACATACTGTTAACACAGCCATTGGAAAAAGAGAATAAAATCCTGATCCTTTATGGATCCAGAGAACAAACCAGCTTTTGCTGCCAGCAGAGAGCAGTCATTCCAATTAGTGCTCAAACTTCAGGATTATCTAAATTGTTATTTCTTGTGCAACAATTCATGAAGGTGTACAACAAAATTAAAACATTAAAACTGAGGCTTCTGGTTGCTCCACAACATACATTAAACATCTTCCTTATTTTTTTTTATCACCATATGATTTTGGTCAAAGCAATAAAGTAGTATTTGAGTGGAAGTCTAGAGTAAAGGACAGTCTTGGGAAGTGTGGTCTGTGCCTGAAGTACTAGAGTTCCCCAATTTCTGTTGTTGCTTTAATAGAGGAATTATACAGATATGGCCATATGGGGGTTGCCATTAAATGTCACCCTTACTCACCCTCATAGCACAACAGTTGTGAAATTCCAAATATTTTTTATTGATATTAAAAATGTACTGAAAACTGTGAGAAACTATTGTTACCTGGGATAGGTGACAGATTCATACATCAGACCATGACCTACTCTGTTTCTTATTCTGTACAAAATGCAGGGGTAGAGTGACATACATTAGAAGTACATTTAGAGAAAGAGAAAATTTAATTGTAGAGCTGCAGCTACAGACTCCACAAGTGATCCCATAATTTTTCAGAGGTCTTTCCTCTGTTGACAGTGAACTTCTGGACCATGTCTTTCTGTTTCTCTCTGCTCTTCCTGTGTGTCCATCCTTGCTGAACTCTTTTTCCTATCTGTAAAGAGGTATTTTGGACTGGGACTGTTTTCTTGTTCTCTGCACAGTGCTGTGAAGAGCAAGTGTCTAGGCTGGCATTACGAGGTGTATAGCTACCATAAATGCTGGTGTGGGGTGAAGATAGGTGGTGGAATCTGTTCTGGAAGAATTCTAGTATCAATTTATATATAAAAATACCTTTCCAATTCCTATTCTGTTTGCTAGTTGCAAAAATCTTTACAGAATTAAAAAAGTAATAGGTTAAATTTGGGAAAGACATGACATAACTCAATGCCTCTAATGAAGAATTACATTGAATCCATTCCAAAACACATCCTTTTTCTAAAATATAGTTACTCTGGTGTAAGCTGCAAACAACAACTTTTACTGTTTTTATATTTTATCAACTATGTGTCTTACCTCTGGCTGCATCAAGAAGAAAAAGAGTAGTGATCCATACTGCAAACATCTAAAGCAAATAAGGACATGATTCAAACCTGATTCAAAATAGAATCTGTAATTCACCTAAGGGTTTCCTTGACCCATTAAGAAAAACGTCATAGCGACCATAGCAGTACTTCAGGCATTTAATGAATTGGATCCAAAAGAATCAATACTTCCCTAAAGATGGAAAGGCTTCAAGAAAATACCTTTGGGATTCTTTGTTTGCCATGGAGGTTTTGCATATGCAGGTTATCCTCTAACCGTTTCTTAAAGATTGTCTACCTGACCTTGACAAACAGAAGCTTTTTTTTTAAATTAAGAGCTACAGTTTATGGGCAAACAAAGGAAATTCTTAAAGGATTTGCAACAGACTTTTTTTTACAGAGTGAAGTTTCTTCCAGTATTTAGTAGAAAAGTTACTCATAGAATGGCTATGCAGTGATTATATTTAAAAGAACCCAGAAACAAACTTAATTTGTGTTTCTAAATGATATAAAAAGTCTTGAAAACTCATTATGATCGCTGCTACCATCTATGTTCAATTATCAGCCTTGATCTACTTGATCACTTAATCACTAGCTGATAGGTAAGCATCAGAGTAAATGGAACCAGTCATTTACTTTGAGGTGAAGTAGTGAAAGCCTCGTAAGTGCTGTCTTACTACTAATTGTAACTTATCTTCAAGGGAAAGGAGATCATCCTTAGAAAACTCTAATATCGGGCCCTGATCTTCCAATGAGTCCTGCACAGGCAGAGTCCTGCATCCCGTCCCTGCCCTCCAAACTCCTAGTTCCCCCTGAAGTCAGTAACACACTGTTAGGAGGAAAGAGTTTATCCCTGTGAAACTCACTGCAGGTTCAAGCATATCCTGCTTCCATCTCCTCTCCTCCAGCCACTCACCAAATATTCCATACCTTATCACGATGCACCTAATTGAAGTTCCTTAGTTGCCCTTTTCTCCAGCGTATCCCATTTACCTTGGCGAGGCTCCGAGCAAGTTCTTTGGTCCACCTTTCAGCTGATTGTGGCAAGCCTTGCAGAGGCTCTTTGCAGAGCATGGAATGAAGCAGGATGGCACTGTGTCTGCCCAATGAGGGACACTCATCCCGCCGCTGGTCCACAGTGCTTGTTTCCAGCTGCACCTGTGACTTTGGGTAGTGCCAAAAGAGATCTCCTTGTGTCAGGTATGCTTCATGGGAGATAACACGAACCAGGTCAGACCAGTTGTTGTGTGACTCCACCTGTTTAATGCAAAGTTTCAAATAGGTTGTTAATGTCATTCGTAATTATTTTTAAAGCTAAAAAGTACTGGGAAGTGTGATGTAAACACTGAGCAAACACAAAGCCTTTCAGGATCAGGAACATGGCTCTTAACGTTGGCTGGGCTGTGCCTCCCAGTGTGATGCTGAGTTGGGATTCAAGTGACACAGCATCACACCCGAAGGCTGTAGCAGAGCTCCAGTCTTTTGAGTCATACTCCAGAATTTTAATAGCAAACCCACCCTTCCAGGACCTGATCCCTGTCTTAAATAATTTATAGTCTTAAGCAAAGTTTTCAAATTTGTATTTGACAATAAAGGCTCCCATTACAACATCAAGACACAAACAAGGTGTTGTGGGATGAACTAGCATGTACGTTTACAAGCTTTAAGCTGTTACCTGAGAAAAGGCAGAAAAAAGAGAGGAGGATGAAAAATGATAAAAACATGAGATTGTTCAGTCTGTCATCTGTTATTTATTTGTCTTGTAGTTCTCTCATCTATAATTTTGCTAGTGGATTACCTGACTTATCTTTGAAAAGATGACAGAAATGCTTTTAAGCAGGGGAGAATAGTTTCTTGGGCAGATTGTCACCACATCCATGAATCTTCATAATTAAATTGTATTAATTGCAGTAATTTTAGTTTTTAGTGGTCTGATAATGATGTCTTTTCACATTGTACTATATTGCTGTCATACTATTATGTTAACATTTCTGATCAGGCTTTCCTGGAAATCTTTGTTCCTGCATGTGGGTCTTTTCCACCCTAAATGAGTCTATGATTCTGTGTAGACGCAAATGAGAAACTTGCTTCTCAACATTTTAATGTTAAATCCTTTAAGTATGTTAGGTGACTATTGGCACCTCCTAAGCCAAGGGTGTACAGAAAGGGGAGACTCCCTTTTGGTATAATCCTTTCCACTGACAGATGACGTGTCTCACATCTAGAACATACAAATATGAACTGGATTAAAGTGGTTCTTAAGAGTGCTAGGTGCAAAAAAACTTTCCAGACATTTTTTGTGTATTTGTTTATCTAGCCTTGGAATGTTAATTTCTTCAGATGCAGATTGTAGGAGCAAATAGATCCTCCATCTCTGTGCTCCATAACGCCAGCAGAAAAATAGGAAGAAAAGTTAGTATGTAGCTCAGGGAGTTTGGTTTTGTTTTGCTGGTTTTGTTTGTTTGGTTGGGTTTTTTTCCATTTTTTTCAGGACTATATTAGTAAAGTGTTGAATTATTCACTTTAAAATTTAAGTTGTCTTCTCATCACATAATTAAAGACACTTGTTAGGGTGCAAATTGGTCAGTTAACCAGTCACCAATAGAATTCAGCAAACAAAAATCCTGACCAGATGTTTGGAAGAAATTGTTAAAAGAAGCATACACCAAAAAACCTGCTTCCAAGTTATCCAAGGCCATCCGGGCCAAAACTGGATGCAGTGTGATAGTAGGTACTCAGAGCTGTGAGCGTCTATTATACTCAGATTTCCTGACTGGCTGCTCAGATCTGTGATGTAATACCACATTCAAAGGGAGTGGATTCTTGGGTTTTTTAGATCCCTAAGAATTTATAGACAAACTTAGAAAAGTCAATTTATTAGAATTTAAGAGCCCCACAGAAAATCTGTATATAATCTACATTACTCACTTCTGATTTAATTCTGTAATACATAATATTGGAACAAAACCTCACTTCCATTTTATCCTCACAAATTCTTCCCACTTCAGAAACAGAGTTTATTGCAGAAACAGTTCACTCAAACTTTTAAATTAATCTAGTTGGTTCAATAAATTATTCTTGTTAATTTGAATTCATAGACTTTATCAGTGAGAATATTTTGGTGCATATGCTCTCTGGGGACCTCAAGAAATCAGAATTACCTATTACATTAAGAAGCCTTTCTGGAACCTGGTATTACAGTCCCAAACTATACCTCAATCCTCTGCTGCAACATGGACTTCAATGGCAGCCTAGACGTGAAGATTTCATATAACTTAAAAGATTCAGTGATGTTGCCAAGATAAAATTTGAACGACAACATGTTTAAGGGCTTTTGATTTTAGGTATGATGAGATCATCATTGTCTCACACTGTGGATGCAAACGTGTACCATGCAATTCTTATAAATCATTATTCCAGTTAGTACTGAGCATCAATTGGAGCTTAACTTCTCTAGGCTTTTCTCAGAACACATGAAGTGATTATTTAGTGATGTTCGTGCTGCCTTTCAGCAGTCAGTGAGACACTACTGCCCTCCTCCAGTGTTTAAGACAAGGTTACTGGGAAAACAAGGCATCTTCATATTTGTAATGAATTAGTCAGAGGATTTACTCTAGCAGACAAGCACGAAATGGGTTTTCTACGCTGGTTTACTAATACCCAAAAAAGCTCGTAGCTCAGCAACATATTTCTATGTCAGCGCTTCTGTGTTGACTTCTAGAAAACTTCTCACTTTAATGGGGTTAACTACTTTAGTGTTATCTGGAACCTGTGGAGGAAGCAGCAAGCCACAAAGTGCTGACTCTCCATCCCCCAGGAGTTCTTGAGAATTTCTCTTCCATGAACTTGTCCATGCTGTCCGTGAACCCATGCACGCTCTGGCACACCCAGCATGCTGTATCAAACACGTCGTAATTATGCAACTGTGAGAAGAATTACCTTTTGTTTGATGCACACCTTGAAGCGTGTAACTGCCAGCTTCGTTTCATGCCCTCTGTTACTAGTGTGGAAGAAAATAAACACGTCATTTGTATTTGCCTTCTCTGTGATCCTCTTCGTCTTACAGACCACATTCACCCCCCCACCTCTTCTCCAGGCTGATTTCTGTTATAGAATCGTAGAATCACAGAATGGTTTGGGTTGGAAGGGACCTTTAAGACCCTCCAGTTCCAACCCCCCTGCCATGGGCAGGGACACCTTCCACTAGACCAGGTTGCTCCAAGCTTCATCCAGCCTGGCCTTGAACACTTCCAGGGTGGGGCATCTACACCTGGTTTTCCATTATATGCCAGAAGAGGTGGGAAAATGACAGCTTATTGCATTTGACTGGAGATGACGAGTCTTTTGTCCTCCATTACCAAAACCAGTGAAGAAAATCCCCAGTCCTGAAGTTTTGTCAATGAAATGTGGGGTTTTTTTGAGGGATGAAGTGGCCAAAGGTGGAAGCTCCCTTCAATAGGAACATCTATAAGAGAGGAGCTTATGTACAATGCATATAGAATGCTATGATAAAAAATAGGACTAATAGGGATAATTCATTTAAATTATTGTGCAGGGCTGTTTGCCTTTTTTTTTTTTCTTTAATTGAAATTGCACCCATTTGTCATGTCTTAACCTGGAGAGCAAACTTTCAGGGCTGGGACCTACCTACCTACCTACCTCTGCACATTGTGGAGTGTGTAACTGAGTTTTGGATAGTGTATGAATCGTTTTTATTACAAATGGTAACAGTAACATAAAGGTCACCTTTTCCAGCACATCAGTTGTAAGACCTTCCCTACCAAAGTAACATTTTTGAATAAAACTCCTTAAATACCAGTAAGTATTTTCCTGTTCTTTCCAGTCTGCTTGTCTGCTGAAATAGATATGAAGGGATTATTATTCTTTTTATCTGCCGTTCTTTCATTATGATCCAGCTTCTAATACTTTTATTGATGCCAATCCCAATGGAATCACTCATAGAACAAAATACTTCCTAGCTAAAAGAGAGCACCAAATGTTAAGTTCTACTTTCTTTATATTTTAATACTGTTTAAATTAACAGCAGTTACGTGATGTATTTATATGCTTCATGGAACTTTTACTTCTTGAGGTGAGCCCGGAGATACCATGTGATTTGGTCTGCAGTGCTCCTGACTATGTTTTGTCCTGGTAATTAAAATAGAGTGACGAAGAAGTTTAAGAGCATTGACTCCTATTTGCTCTCCTCATTGCAGTATGAATTTTCAAGGAAGTGAGTGTGTAATTAGCCATCCTTTATTCACTTCTTACCTCTCTGTTAACCACCCTTCTGTCTCGGTTAACTATAACACTTACTGGCACTCCTGAGAATATGGGTGAGGAATAAATAAACTTCACAGGGAATACTGCAGGAAATATTCCCCTGAGCTTCATCTGGCCTTCTACTGTCTAAATCAAGAAATGGTGCAATTGCTAATAACCACTTAATTAGTAATAGATTGTGTTTGCCTCTACAGCAGCTGCTTGCAGATTGTAAGAGCGTAGGCTGCATATCTGAAACAGATACAGCAGGTGAGAGTCACTGATTGGATTCAATAGAATTAGACAGGTTTACAACAGGTAAGATCTGAAATTTGTCTCTTAATAAACAAAATAAATGTATTCCTTCAGTTATGTCTTAATTTGTGTCAAACAGATTGACACAATTATGTCAGAGTAAATTTGTCTCTTAATAAACAAAATAAATGTATTCCTTCAGTTATGTCTTAAATTGTGTCAAACAGCTAAGAGACTTAGCTTTTCATCATTCCCGTGATACAACACTTGTGATTGATGCATATCCTGAGGATAGCATTGAATTTAGGGGTACAAAATAGGGAAATGACGAATGTGATAGAAACAGAACATTTTAAGTCTCCTCCTGCAAGTTATTTTAAGGCCTATGGGCACTATGTGTGTTGATCTAAATTTCAAGATGTAAATTAGTTAACTACCATGAAAACAAAACAAAACAAAAACCACCAAAACCACAAAAACCCACACCAACAAAAAACATTCTGAATTTTCTCTAACCAATTTCTCATTCTTCCTGTCTGTCTTCTTGGTTTTATACCTTTGAAAAGTTGGAAATTATTTTAAGAAAAGACAGTTTGTTACCATATAAAATGGATTTCATGGATTAATGTGAAAGCATGGAATAAAGATTCTAATCATAGCTGTTTTCCATAGCCCTGTAGATGGCTGTGGTAAATGAACTGTAATTGATCATGATGAGTTTTGTTATAAGGTTTAAAGATTACATGAAGTGCTGGGGTAGAAGCTTTGTCTGAAGGCTTTGATTTTATATCTCTGATTTTTGATTGTGTTAATTAACTGGTGTTATTAGTAAAATAGGAAGCCATCCTTTATGAGATAATTGGGACAAATCTCTATCTGATAGCATAGTTACTGAAACACTATGTCTTTAGAAGCTCTATTTTTTCTTTAGTTGTTGCTTCTGTCAAAGTAAAGAAAACATTTTATATTTAAGAAGTAACATCAGCTTGCAGGATGGCTGAATTATTTTCTATATATTGATAAAATAAATTTATATATTTATCTCTGAAAGATAACACTAAAGATGGAAACATAGACATTCTACATATTCTAGTCTGTATTTCAACCTTAATCAGGTTTTTAATGTCCTTAAATCTTCTTTTTCTCAAAATAACTGTAATAGTTGGGGCAGAATGCTCCTTGATTATAAATTAACATCATTCCATTGCCTTTATCATCCATTTTTAAAAACAGTCAGCTGTTCTTAAATAGAAACATGTAAGAAAATAATTAAGTGGTTTCATATCGGGCCTTTGGTGTGGTATGTGGTCTGGTTTACACGAGTTTGGTTTCACTTTGCAAGCGCTTGTTCTGCTCCACTGCACTTCCTTTAACTTCAGTCAAGTACAGGAGGTTAACCGAAGGTGCTGTTATATTTTGTCACTGTCTTTGGGTTCATTACTCGTGGTGTGGCAATATGACTAGTGCTTTAATAAAACTGTGTATTGTATTTGTAGAATTTTCTACGCTCGCAGCCTGCACCGTGAGTTTGTGTTTGCCCTTGATTCCTGTCTTGTTTGAAGAGGAGGTTTGAATCTGGAGCTGTGAAGCTAAGGCACATGGTGATCTGTAGATTATTCTAGAGAAGGACTCCTGGAAGGGGTTGATAGAAGGAGCAGCAGGACATGGATGGTTCTGGAGGTCTGCTTGGTAGTTCCCTCTGGCTTTGCCACTCCCTGTACAAAGGGATGACTTGGGGAATAACCTTTTTATTATATTTGCTTGTGACACAAGACTGTAAGCAGGAAGGTTTCTTTATTTTGCTTTTTTGAATACTGCTGTTTCTTCAGTCAATTTGATTTTTTAGTATACTTTCAGAATGCTGTCAGAATTTTAATAATTTGGGATCCACTGACAGAATTAAATCAGATTTTAATAGAAGGCCTACCTCTGCCCTTAGTTGTTTGGAAGGTCTCTTAATACTCACTTGAGAGGAACCAGCCAAAGCTGCAGGATGACATCCATTCATTGGCCAGATAAATCAGTAGCTCATTCAGTATGATTTCAGAAAAATTTAACATCACCATTTTAGTTTTAAGCCTCTTGGCTTTAAAGTTACAAAAACACAGGTATTTTTACAAAATTGTGAGGAAAAGAGTCAGGAGGAACAGCAAAAACTCTTTTTTGGAGCTACCCCAAATGAGAGTTACGAGGCAGGGTTGCAAAGCACAAAGTCAATTTAAGCCCAAGGAATGTGGGAGTGGGATGTTGCAATCGGCCCAGCGTGCAACATATAAAAGCATTACCACACCGATTAGACCTACTAAGTTTAACTAGAGTATTTCATAATGTGGGTCCAACCCAGCCTCATTTTAAGTCAGCTGAGGTTATTGCCATTGTTTTCAGTAAGCAAGGGTCGAAGCCAGCATTGCAGTATTGATTTCAATATGTATGTAGTTCTGGTTTGCTTCTGAGACGCATACAAACGTCTGCAAAAAATGTCAGACTTTCAGTAGTATTTCAGTGATCTGCTACTGGACAGGCACTAAATGCTAAGTGTGAAGAACTGGAGAGGGAAAAGCTTTAGGACTGGATTCTGTGTGGGCTTCATGGTTCTGAAAACCAGCTGAGTGGTTTGTGAACACATCACGTGTAGATGACGGCAGCATGCAGGCCTTGGGTTTTCATAGAGCTGTGCCTATTTTGAGATTATTTAGTAGGTAAATCTTACGTAAAGAAACAGCTATTTGAGCATCCTTCTAAATGGCATTTTAACAACTATGTGACAGAAGCATAAAATCTTCCAGTGGCAAATAAGGGCTTCTAGGCTATTATTCTTCCTCAGTCTCCTGACTGGACACATTACAGGTGCACTGTACAGTCAGTTTGTGTGTGCAGAGCAGATACTTGCTTCCCAGGAGCATTGGAGCACGTTAGATGTGCTCTGCACTCGCCTGTGTACATCCTTACCTCCTCTCCAGGAGGAAGGATGCTGAGACTCTGCTATGGACACGCTAGCTGTGGATTGATTTGAGCAATGCTGGTATATGCAAAAGAGGTGGCACTGATTATTCTTGTCATTTGAAATGTTAGTGATACACAACATATGTAAACAGCAAGTTTTAAACAACCATTGTCTGCTTTCTGTTACTACCAGTCAGAGTACAGTTTGAGTTGGCTGAGATTAATGTAAAACATCTAATGATCAAAGCTAGAATTATCAACAGTTACAAGAGGCGAGAGCCAAATGATGCCTGGGGTTGCAAGCAGGATAAGCCCTGTTTACCACAGCCTTTGCCAGACTTGTCAGGACCACTGCCACCGCCGGGACAAACCGCTTTATCTTGCTCAGCTGCAGCGTTTCACTGCTGGGGT